AAAGATTAAATAAAAGCATATGATTTATATCTGATTATTAAAGCAATACAAACTTGTAGAAAACTTAGAAAATTCTGGAAAGTAATGAAGGAAAAGCAAGTCCACCACTAAGAAACTACTGATAACATTTTAAACATTTTGCTATGTATCTTCTTTCAGTTTGTTTTTTGAATATGTATATGTGTGTTTCTAGTTAAAACGATACTAAATATACAGTTTTATATTTGGAAGTTTTTCCCCCCACTTAATCTCATGAGTATTTTCCCACAATCCTGTGGTGTCGCTTCCTTGCTCAGAAACTCCTCTAGCTTCCCCTAACACCCAAGATAAACTTCCTTATCATGGCTGATAAGATCTACGAGTTCTGGCTCCTAGCTCCCTCTCTAAATTTTAAGTAGCTCACTCTGCTCCAGATACAAAACTTCCCTTCTGTTCCTTTGGGCATTCTGAGCTGTTTCCCACCTTAGGACATTTATGTCTGCCTTTCCCTCTGTCTGGAATGTTCTGGCTTCAGATTATCACAGTCTTGTTTGTCAACTTCACATCACCTCCTCTTAGCTCCTTCCCTGAAGGCTCTTATCCACCTCACCTTGCATTTGTGTCTTCACAGCAACTAGCTTAGTTATTTGTGCATTTAGTTATTACCCATCTGCCCTTTCTGTGATGGACACTCCAAAAAAAAGCAAAGGCCTTTTACTGGTGTACAGCTGTGTTCTAATGCTCACAGCAGTACCAGACAGAGAGGAGATGCTCAACAAGTATTGTTGAATGAATGAATGACTCATTGAAACTTCTTCAAAAACACACTTTTAATATCTTGACCCGTAGTAGGCCCAAGACCTGCTGTTTGCTCCCAAGAGTTACTGACATTTAACATGAAGCCTAACCGCTACCCGCTGGTGAAAAGAGTAATTTCATCCAAGGACTTCTGTGAGTTTTGCAGACATTAATCAGAAATCTCAATAAGGAGCTGAAAAATCCCTTGTTTCTACAGGAGCCTCCAACAATCTCAGAAAACTTAAAAGGCCTTAATTGAAAACTCATTATGTTTCCAGGACTGTGTTATCCTGGTTTGCACTTGAGGAAGCTCCAACACAGAAAGGTTAAGTTACTGAAACTGTCTGGGTGAAGCCTAATTCCTCCTGAGCACTTCCTTGGGCCTCAAAGACAGTCCTTCTCTAAGGATACTTGCCGACAGGTCCTCGGGGCTTACCACAGAGTGGACCCTGTGCCAAGCCGGGCATCACTTTGTTAGTTATGAGCCAGGGCTGGATTCTGAGAGAACTGGCTTTAACTCAAACTCTCTCCCTTGTGGGCAGGCCTGGAGGTCGTCAGGAATATTCTGCATATTAATTAACAAGAAAATTGAGATTCAGAGAACTGAGTTGCCCAAGGAAGTGAGGACTTCTGTTCAATGCCCGTAGTTACCTTCCAGATTCTCAGTTGCTTTGTTCTACAATTCTGAGCCAATAGCCTGGGTAAGGGAAGCCTATTACTGCACTGTTCCTGGGTACCCAGAAACCTTTGAGGTTCTTTGTTGCATCCGTTTCCAAGAATCCTAGGGAGTGAGTTTAATTACATATTACTTATAGGTGAAGAAACTGAGGATCAGAAAAATTAAACGACTTTCCAAGGTTGCCCAGCTATCAAGTGGAGCTGGAATGTCATCTGAGGTCTGTTTAATGTCAAACCCATGCTCCAAACCACCTTGCTATTTGCCCTGGGATCCTGTATTATTAGAGCAAGACTTCACTCTGAAGGAGAGAGGTACACCTAAACTATTGGGACATAAGAGCAGAGAGAGGGTAGGTTCACTGAGTTGTACCGGCAACGGCTGCTCTCTCCTTTCTGAGCAGGAAGCAGGTTCCAACTGCTAGAAAACGGTGTCAGGCAAATGTGAAATGCGATGATAAGAGAACGGTTAAACTTCTGAGGGCTCTTTCTTGACCCTGAAAATAGGCGAAAGAAGAAACAAGAAGGGAAGCTTTGAAAAGACATAAGTCAATCTCAACTGGATTTCTCCTCTTTTGTTTGTATCGTTAACACGTAGGTGCTTTAGAAAAGCATCAGGAGTCGGGGAAATGGAGGAAGTGTGTTTTTGTGTGAGATTAATCCTCTTGGGGTGCAAAGGTGTCCTTCTTAAGCCAGCTGCACGGCATGTGGCTGATGAAGCAAGGGGAGCGTGGAGGAAGAAAACACTCAAGGCCCTTTTGAAATACTGTTTGTTCTTACTGACATTTTCAGCTTTGGCCTCTATTGGCCAATTTTGGCAAAAGGAAACTGTGATGCTGGGCGGCAGCCCTTCCGGGGGCTCTCCTTGTCTAGCCTACAAAAAGAAAACAAAGCCTCCCTCTCTGCTTCTCGGAGGCGAGGCTGACGGGAGACTTCGGCAGATGGCAGGAGAGGACAGCTACCCGTCAGTGCTCAGCCAGGAGGCTGCCGTCCCTCCCCGATTAAAAATAAAGTCTGCAGCATGGACGGTGGTTTGGGGCTCAATGGCAGTTTCTGCCTTATTAAAACCAATTCCAGTTTGCTACCTGGCATGCAGATATGTAAATGCAACAGGAACCAACTCAGGTTGAGACGTTTGAATAAAATCCTTTGTGCCACAGCTAGCGTGACTTTATAGACAATACGTGCATGCGTTGTGTGTGTCTATATGCGTGTATGCAAGTAGTAGTGCGTGGTTGTGTGTGCTCTGCTCAGCCAAGACAGGAAGAAACGGGTAAACTCAACCTTTAGCCTGTCTAGACTTTGAGGCTTAAACAGGGCCTGACATATAGTAAGCATCAGCCAAGGGAGGCCAAATGAATGGAGAGATTCTATGCAAATGTGAACATTTCATAGCACACGCTTATCTTAATCTCCTGAAAAAGGTCCAGCTCCTAATCCTGATGGCATTCAGCCATCTGGAATTGCAAAGATAGTGCTAAAACTTCACTTCAGGTCAACTATCCCAAGAGTGTTCACGATTCCTTCCCTCTGGGTCCTTCAAAGGACCAAACCTTCAGGGCTGTGTATCCTTCAAGTCCAGGTAACTTATGACTTCCCAGTGGGCTTCCTTAACACTTATGCAAACTGAAATTATTACCCTGAAGGGTATTAATAATACCAATGGCGGTAACAGTAGCTAATACCTATTGTGCATTTATTATGTATACGTCGGGCGCTGTTCTAAGCACTTTACCAGTACTAACTCATTTTACCCTTAAAACAACCCTGTGAAATGGGTAATATTATTATTCCCACTTTTCAGATACAGAAACTGAGGTACAGAGAGGGGAAGAAACATGCCCAGATACCCAGAGCTTGTAATGATGAATCCAGTCAGTCTGGCGTCAAGAGCCCACAGGCTTACCCACTACGCTACTGCTCCTATTCCCTTTTTATGACCTCTCAACCTTCCCAATGTATAGCTGCTAACATTCCCCAGGTTTAAGTAAAGTTAGAATAAGGCTGAGGCGTGAGTAGCTGTGGACTACAGACCACTTGCGAGCCCCAGTGTCTGTGGCAGTGGTGCTGGCCACGTTGCAAACCCGCGCAGGTCTCCCAAGATGTCTGTACGCCTCTCCTGAGAACTGCAGGCCCTTGTGATTAGGGATCTGCTGCGACTCAAAAGGCTAATAGCAACTGGCTGATGCATCTTTCAAACAAGCCTTTCCAACTGGAAATAAATCAAGAAAGTTTTCCGTTGAGCCCTCTGGTCTCCAATAAATCCCCTGAATCACGTAATAAATGAACTGTCCCAAATTCCTTCCTCCAAGGGACCCAATGGGCAACGTCAGCCATGTGAGGCCACTTTTAAATTCAGGGTGGAGCCTCTCTGGAGGGAGAAATGCCACCCAGGCCGTTAGGGTTGCCAGGAAGACAGAGGGGTCACGGGGCCCAGCACTCGGGGATCTCTTCACCTACACGGGA